TCAATGGCAACATTGGGCAGTAGAAGGGGAAAATAAAATCTAGAACCTATAAAACAGATTCTCATTCTCTCCTGCTTTTTAAAAAAATCCCAAATATCCTACCATTTTCCATTGGTATATATGCTTCTAAGACAAAGACTGGGAAGGAAAAAGGATATTATTTATATGATTGTTTCTCCCTTCTGTTTACAGTTGAATATGAAGTGTGTTTGGTTCCTTAGTATATAGCCCAGGCCATTGCCAGAACCGACTGTGGTGAGGCAGCATTCTGGAAATATCTCTAACATTCTAAGAGCCCGGAAATTTTGCTGGAGTTCACAGCAGTCACACACGAGACACACAGACAGAGACTCATAGCATTCAACAGACATTAGACTCACACAGCTACAAATACCACTTACAAAGTCAGGACAAACACACAACTCATATGATACACACACATACATAATCAGCCAGACACTTCTTGTACACACAGACACATACAGCACACACAGACACCCACAGAGACACATACACAATTCAACAGACAGTTATCACTCGCAGAGACAAAAGCATCAGGCATACATATCTACAGACACGGTGGCAAACAGATTCACAAGACAGACTTCAGGCAGGTACAGATTAAGACTCATACAACATACTGATGGAAGATACTGGGAGCACGAAGAAGAGAATTCCAATCTGGACTTGTTCTTGTTTAAATATCTCCAAGGGGAAGGTACAGATGCATTGATGGTCACTCAGACTTGATCAATAATGGGTATAACCGGCACATGATCCCCACTACCAGAGAGCAGAAGGGATGTTAGGGACAAGGGGCAGTCACAAGCAGAGATGATACAGAAAAAAACCTATGGTTCTATACTCTGTACTCTATCCACCAACAAACTGTATGACTGATTTAATGTATTCCTGCATCTCATTTGCGAAACACATTCCACAGAAAGAAGCCTCTGTTTCTGGAAATTCTTGTTTTGAGGGTAGGGGATATATGAGGAAGCTCTATTTGGGAGGAGATATATTCTGTTGTTTTTCTGTGTTAAATATTTATGTAGCTTTGCAAAATGCATAATATGGTAAAATAAATGAAAAAAATATTTATTCACACACAAGAATACCCATAGTGTTCTTTCAAAGCACAGAGGCATAGAAAATAACCTTGAACTTCAGAAACAGACTGTAGCTCAGGACCATCTCTTTGTTTTTCTAACACTAGAATTATTATTCTATAACTTCCCTTAGATAGGGGTAAATTAACAAATTTCGAGAGACATGATTCCTAGGTGCTATCAAAAATGTGTTTTGGTCAAATGTGGTGGCATGCAAATGTAACTGAAGTACTTGGGAGGATGAGGTAGGAGAATCTTGAGTTTGAAGGGAGCTTGGGCTACACACAGTTCAAGGCCAGCGTGGAATACACAGTGACATAGTCTCAACAACCAAAGGACATAAATACCACAAGCCAATAAGACCCTGTGGTGGTCGGAATGAGAGCGACCCCTATAGGCTCATAGTTTTGAATGCTTGGTCCTCAGAACTGTTTAGGAAGGACTAGGAGGTGTGGCCTTGCTGGGGGAGGTGTGTCACTGGGAATGGGCTTTGAGATTTCAAAAGCCTACACCAGTCTCAGTTAGTGTCCTCTGCCTTGTGCTTATAGATGATAATATACACTCTTAGCTACTGCTCTGGTGCCACGTGGCCATCATGGACTCACCCTCTGAAACTGAAAGAAAGCCCCCCATTCAAGGTTTTCTTTTGTGGGTTGTCTTGGTCATGGTGTCTCTTCACAGCAATAGGATAGTGACCAAGACAAATAATCTTCAAATAATCCAAGGGTTTCTGTGAAATTTCCTTGATTTTCACTTACATCAATGTGTCTTTGAACTCTCTCGGGAACTCTTCAGTAACTGCCCATAAAGCTTCAGCTATGATATGAATTACCATTGCCTCACCTCAACGTTTGTACCAACAAGTCAAACCAGTCTCCCTTCTTGCCTTCCTCCCCACCCCAAAACATGTTTTATAAGGAAAAAGCAAAGGTGATTTCAGCTGGGAGGGGCAGAGGTGGGCTCCTCTTGCTGGAAGTTAATTATTTCCTTCTACTTCCTCTCTAGTGATATTATCAGCCAATGTATCTCGAAAACCCTGAGCCATTTCTTCCACGTCGATTGCTCTGTTCCATTAAGCAACAGGTGCTGTTTGTAAAAGCTTTTTTAAAAAAATAGCAGAAGCAAGCAACAGTTTTGATTAACAACATTTCCTAATTCCTGTTGGAGACACACCCACGAACTTTCCACATGGCGTGACAAGGTGGAAAATTCTAACCTTGTAAAAACCTCTTGTTGTCAAAAATTCAAGGGAAGGAGAAAAAGCCAGAGGAGACGTCATTGCCAAGTCACTTCCCATGTGAATTTTTTATTTGACACACGGGCAGTGATCGCTGTCTTCTGTGAAGCCCTCATCCTATATGTTGTGGAGAGGCATTTATAGGAGGAGACTGTCAGTCATCAAAAGCTGAAAGAGGAGCCAGGAGAGAAGAGTCAGACACAGAAAACAATAAGGGCAGAAGCAGGATGAAATGAATGATGGCTCAGAGATTTACGTACCTGTCTAAGGGGACAAAGAGGCAAGAGTGCGACTCCCTATTGAGAGAAACCTTCCAGTGGAGCCCCAAGTAGTAGCCACATGGTTAGGATTCCCTAGTTCAGACACACACACACACACACACACGCACACGCACACGCACACGCACACATACACAACTGTGAGATGAGAAAGCAAGACAAGGGAACAGAAATGAGACATGGAAAGTTACAATAAGTGAAAGTACTGGAACTGTGTGCACGGGGCCATGGGATTCAGAAGTGGAGAATATGGGGGGTTATTTTGCTTCCTCCTTCTGAGGTGTCATTCTCTGTCCACTGGTCTGGTTTAAAAAAAAAAAAATAAGGCCTATGGAGAGGAAAACCAACATGTTGCAACCCACAAGGACATCTTGATAGTGCCTGATGTCCTAATTAATGGATTGTGAAATGGCCACTGTCTCTGCTTCTGCTGATCCCTCTCCTACCAGCCCACTCAAAGCCCACTCAAACCCCACTCCGTTGATACCAGCAGCACGAACTTCGCCTTCAGTAAGTCTGACGTCACCTGCGCCCCTACAGCTCTGTCTGCTGTTGACTCAGCCATCAGTAGCACTGTCACCAGCCACCCCTCCCCCACTGTTAGAATCCCACCACTGCCATCAAGCACGTGGACGCTAACAAGAGGACATGGACCAGCGAGGGGCTGCGCATCGTCCTTCCCAAGAGTAACATCCTTTGTCCTCTGCTGGATTTTGTGGAGGAGGTCCACACTGGCAGATGGATCCAGATGGCATCTGGTATTCTTCAGGGCCTCAACAAGTCTCTGTTAAATTGAGTTTTAATTGCTTATGAGATCTTGATTAAAATAAACTCGGCTACTTTTTGTTATATGGATCTTCATAAGTCGATGGGTTTTTTTTTTTCCAATAAATGAGATTAGAAATATCAAGAAGCAGCTGGGATATTGTCAGATTTTAGCTTAGATGCTTAATAGTTTTGACCATAAACCCCATTTAGTAACAATACAACTAAATCAATCTTGTAATTTTCCTAATTACAGTTGACCTCTTTGATCGTTGATTTCACTTTCTTCAGTTAGTAGAGGTCAACAAAAGTTCATAAATATAAATTACTAAATTTAAATAACACATTTAAATTTTTATTACATTTGTTTATTGTTTATTTATTCTATGTGTTAATATGAATGTGTGTGAGCACCCATATACATGTGGGACAACCTTTGGAAGTCCGTTTGCTTCTTCCATCCTGTGGGTTTCAGGGATCAAATTGAGGCCATCGGGCTGGAAGGCAAGTGTCTTAATCTGCTGAACCTTCTCACCAGACCAAGGTGAAGTTCTTAATAGGGAGAAAGTATACCCTTGTATAGACACACACACACACACACACACACTCACACACACTCACATATGGTTCAGTGCTATATTTTGTTCAGGATTTCTCTGAGGGTGTGGAACATGACTAAAGGAAAATCATAAAAATAATGCATACATTTCATAAAGTGTAGACAATATCGAACTCTGACCCTTTCACAGTCCCCAGAAAAACAATAACCATAATCATCCACAGTATTCCTGTTCTTCCACTTTTGTCTAAAAAACAAAACAAAACAATAAAACCAAAAAACCAAAAAAAAATCAAAAAAAACCCACTGCAACTTTAAGGCCTTAAGGTAAAGATGAGGGCATTGCTTTAGAGTTTGAGAGGGCTGAGGATGTGCTCAGTGGTAAGGCGCTTGTCTAGCACCTGTAAGGCCCTGAGAGTGACTCCTAGCACCACAAAACCCATAGATACTGTTCCGGAGGTCAGGTGTCTGATCCAGATTTAGAGGTAAATTCAGGTGTCAGCAGGGCTATACTCGGTGTAGAGGCTCCAGGGACCATGCCTTCCCTGGCCTTTCCCAGCCTGGGGAAGTTGCTAACATTCTTGGGATTGTACTCTCTATGTACCTTTCTCGTCTGTGGCTTCTGATGCTCTGGTCATCCCTCCATAGCCTCTCTCTGTGGCTTCTGACTCTTTGGTCATCCTCCATAGTCTCTCTCTGTGACCCCCTTCTGCCTTCCTCTTCAACTGTATGGACCCTCGTGATCATACTTGGATAATGCAGCGTATCCCGGTTTCTGATTATCATTGTAGCCCTCATTCCTCTTTGCCATGTAGTAGAATGTGGCGCATTCTAAAGACTCTACAGCATCTTAGCAGGGGTGCCATTATTCTTTCCCACCCTTATTCTCTTTACAACGTTTCCGTATGTGCAAATATATATTACACACACACACACACACACACACACACACACACACACGTACACACATGTGTTTTACATGGCGTTCTACTCATTTAAAATGAGATATTGTGCGTATGCGGAATAGAGTCAGGCTCCACTTCTAGCCCAGCTATTTATTAACAAGGATACTTCGACTGTAGCAAGTGCGGACATGCTGGCCTCCCTGAAGATGACCCTTTCCCCATTCAGATGGCGGTGGTGCTGGAATGAGAGCATTGCTGTGTGACTCATGAGCACAGTCTTCCGCTCTTTCCTGGAAGAATTAGGGTGTTCTCATGAGAACGGGAGCTGCTGACTGATTTGTTCACATGGGTAACAAATCAAGTTTCAGCCTGACGCGGTCTCTGGAAAAGGAAGACAGTGGATTTTACATATATGTATTCTAATGGTTTGTATTTACATATATGTATTCTAATGGTTTGTATGTGACTGCACAAGTCTTTCCTCCCTTCCTGGCTTCTAAGATCACACAGATGTCAAGAATGGTGCACTTTTTCCCCTCTAGTCACTTCTGAGTCACCGTCTAAGCTGTTTACAGAATCGGCCACACAGTCTGTTCCCCAGGTAGGGAGTCGATGACAACTCCCTCTCAGGAGGTTACAGACCGGCAAAACCAGTGCAATCAAATAAAATTAAGAAAATGCTATGAATTTTATTTTGTGTGACCTAATTATAACTGCAAAGGGAGGCGTCATTCTTATTTGTACAGTGTTTGCTCACTCTAAATCTCTCTTTCAAATGCACACACAAAAAGAAAGAAGGAAGGAAGAAGAAAAACCACCAAGCTTACTTTGTAGCTCAGGCTGGCTTTAAAACTCAAGGTCATCCTCCTGCTGCAGCCTTGCAGGAGCAGGGATTATAAAAATAAGCCACTACCCCCTTCTTTCTATTATCTCTTATAAAACAAAGTAGGAAGAGACAATTTGGCAAATCTTACCTAATCTGGTGATAGGCAGACAGGGCTCCCGTTCCAATCTTTCTTCCACGACTCTGATTTTTCTCCTCTTTTTAGGTCCCAGTTTCTAGATTTTCACCTGGGGAGCAATGATCAGCAATCAGGCAAGTGGGTGGTGAGGAGTGAGATGTGTACCATCCACAATTACAGATGCTTTCAGGAGCAAAACCCATTTTGTTTCCTTGACTACTGAGGTCTAGATAAAGTGAAGCCAATACTCTAAATCCAAGGCTTATGGCTAATTCCCAGGACTCTCCAGCCAGTTTGTATTCTCAAAGTCACCTCTGGCCAAACCCTCTAATCTTTATTTCTTCATGGCAGTGTATTGATTGGTTCAGATGTCATATTTAGGCCCCTTTCCTGTTTGCTGTCACGTGTATACACGCACACACACACACACACACACACACACACACCACTCCAAGCAGGCAGTTTGCACAGGATGCAAGAGCAGACTTGGCTGAAGGTTTTGGAGAAAGGCATGAAAATGGCGATTTTTTTTCCTTAAGGAAGTTTTCTAACTAGGTCCTCATCTCTAACCCTGCAGCAAAGTGAACCCAGAATGGATCAAAGACCTCAATATAATACCCGAAGCCTTGAAACTGCTGGAGGAAAACACTTCAAAACACGGCAGAGGCAGAGACGTTCTAAAATGACTGCAAAAGCTCAGGGGTTTAATTGCAAGAACTTATAGAACTGTGTGAGAAAACAAAGCCTCTGCAGTGAAGAAATAATCATCAGTGAGAGGACAGCCCACAGAACGGGAGAAAAATCCTTTCCAACTGCAAAAATGACAGGCTGTTAGAATCAAGGACATATAAATAACTAAAAAAAACAAAAACAAAAACAAAACAAAAAAAACAAACATTGAGACCATTCAATTAATAAATTGGAATGAAGCAAACACATGTGTCTCAAAAGACAAAGTATAGATGATCAATAAATACTAGGAAAACTATTCAATACCCTTAGCCACCAGGAAAATGCAAATTAAAGCTGCTCTGAGATTCCAACTCACCCTAGTTAGACTGTCTACCATCAGGAAAACAAAGACCAACAAAAGCTGGCAAGAAAGAGAGGCCATTATATATCACTGGTCGAGTGTGGTCACCAAAGAAATGTGAACTTTTCTTAAACAGCTAAAAGTTGAACAACTGTCATAAACGCACACTCCTGGGTGTGTATTCAAGGAATCTAAAGTCAGCACAACACAAAGATAACTGCACATCCACGTTTACTGCTGCCCTGTTTGTTTAGCCAAGACATGGAACAGCCTAGATGCCCATCGACAGATCAGTGCCCGAAGAAAACATGAGGTATGTGTGTTTGTGTGTTTTACTCAGCCATAAAGAAGAATGAAATCATGCATGCAAGAAAATGGATGAAACGGAAAATCACCATGTTAAGTGAAATAAGCCAGACACAGAAAGCCAAGTTTTACACATTTTTTTTTTCTCATAGCCAGCATCTGGATTAATAACACGTATGATGTGGCAGTTGAAGAGGGACCATGTGAAGGGAGGAAGTGGAAGTTAGATTTTTAACAGGCATGAAAGGCCCTGAGGGTGGGCTCCTTCCTCATGATCAGCAGCCTGTGGAACTAGGATCTGAAGCTGCGGGGCTCTGACTGTTGGTCAGAAGGATGTGATCTGATGCACATTTCTGGGTGGAGACATAACATTCTGAACTTCCTGAAAGTTGATTAATAGATAACTTCTGTGGAATAATCCTCCTGTATAATGTGTAAATTACATTGTAATTGGTTTAATAATGAGGATGACTGGTCAATGGCTGGACAGGATAAGGTTAGGCAGGAGAGCCAGACTAAGGACTCTGGGAAGAAGAAGGGCATAGTTGGAGGAGTCACCAGCCAGATACTCAGAGGAAACAGGAGGTGAAAGATGAAAGAGAGGTAAGGCCAAATGGTAGAATATAGGTTAATATAAATGGATTAATTGAAGTTGTAAGAGTTAGCTAGAATAAGCCTGAGCTATTGACCGAGCATTTGTAACTAATATTGAGTCTTTGGGTCAGTTATTTGGGAAATGGCGGGAAAGAAAAGTTCACATACAGACATCTACCCAAATCTTTTAAAATTGCTATCTATAAAGATTTGCGGACTGTGATATACCATTGTCTCATCCCAGAAGATTCAATCCAAGTGGACCTGTCAATCTCTTGGAAAGGAAAATGCCTCTCAGGAAAAGCTGTCACTTCTAGAAAATCCTTAAATGTAGATCCATACAATGTTGCCCTGGGCCACTGTCCATGCTCACTCCTTGAGAGAGCGCCACTTTTCATGGTGAAACATTCCATGTATCTTCTACACTGTTTTATGTGCCTCTGCTGAATTCTTTTGAAGGCATTCACAAGGACTGGAGTGTGTGGGGGGGGAGTCCAGAGCCCAGCCAGCTGACAGTAATGGGATGGGACAAACACGGCATAATTTATGTCATGTGTACGATCTAGATTTAACTCCAAATATGACATGTATGCAAAGTGGGATGACTTATATGGGTGGAGAACCAGGAAGAGGAGAGAGGGATTATTAGGCATGGGAGAAGGGATAGCAGTTTGCCGTTGTGGTCATTATTGTGGTATCCCCCAGTAAGACCACATAGGTCTGTAAAGGGAGCTGAGAACCACTCGGGAGACTGTCTCAGCGTCTGCTTTATTGCACATTAGCAACCACTTATATAGTGGAAGCCTATCCACTGTGATCGGTTAGCACATTCCCTTGGGTTGGACAGTGAGTGCTCACACTGCTGTCTTTATGTGGAAAAAACATGTGGAAGGAGAGCAGAGATTGCAGACTGGTCAGTAGACCAGCTTCTCAGGCTTCTTCAGAATCCAGGGTTCCGACTTCTGGGAGTATTCAGGAGCATGGTGTCCCCTGTTTGTTATTTAACAGGTCATGCTTGCATTTTCTCTTGTGTATGTGTGTTGTATGCAGTATACAAAAGAGCAAAGTACAGTGATATTACATGTATGAAAATGCCGTAATGGAACCTGGGTTTTTGTTGTTGTTGTTGTTGTTGTTTTAAGACAGGATTTTCCTTAGTCCAGACTGGACTCTAACGGGCTCTGCAGCAGAGAGGGCCTTGAACTTCTCAGTCCTGAGTGTCTGGTTTATAGGCATGTGTCAGTAGGCTCAGTGAAGGCTGTTTTTATATAATAACTTAAAAAAAAGAATTTAAAAAGAAAAAATTTCGGTCACCCACTCTCCCTTATCTGTCACCCCACTTTCAGCTCATCAACTTGGTTCCTGCTCCCCTTCTTCCTCTCCAAGGCCAAATTTCTCTCCCTGATCAGGTAAACCGTCAGGCCACCCCTCCCATTACCTTGGGGCCTTCACATCAACTTCAGGCACTCCCTGCTCCACATGGCTTGTCACCTTTCTGTTCCCGAGAAGAATTCTGGAACCAGCTGCTGAGAAAAGACAAGTCTCCACTCTGTATAGTTTATTTTTAAACCCTAGTGCCTTCAGCCCAGAGAATACTACTATTCCTTTTACTCAAAAAGTATTTTTTTGTGTGCTTATTCTATGCCAACATTATTGCCGGAGCTGTGAGCTCAGCAGGGAGTTTACACAAACCTGACCCTGGAGAAGTTCTCCTCTCCTGGAGGAGAAAGACGTGCTTTCGACATATAGTGATACAGGTAATGATTTGTAGTAAAGGCCACAAAGGAAAATCTCAGAATGCTATCCTCAAGGCTGTGAGGGAGGCAGAACCTTCGAGGGGACATTGAATGTGCTCAGGATTCTAAAAGGCTGGTTTATTCCTAGGTCATTTTTTTTTCTGTCATTGTGTCCTCTGAAGAGTCACCTGAAAGAGAAAGTGTGGTGTTTGAGGAGGTTCTGTGTGCCTGGCACTGTGCTTGGGTTACATGGGTCTCACGAGCAGCCTGGTGTGTGTGTGTGTGTGTGTGTGTGTGTGTGAGAGAGAGAGAGAGAGAGAGAGAGGATGAAAAAGAAGTGTTATCGTTTCAGACATCAGAGAATGGTATGAAATGAAGTAGCTGAAAATGGAGACAAGGTAAGTGGTCAGGACAGGCCTTGCCAAAGAGAGAGATCTAAGCAGAAGCCTTGATAGTGAGGAGGTTAGCCAACGGAAAGGACTATTGTGACATTAACAGCACTGTGGGTTTATCCGGCCACAGGAAAAGGCAGGCGGCACTCAGGTGAGTCAACGAGAGACGAAGAGGGTGGAGGTTCTTGGGGCGGGACCAGAACCCTTGTTGGGAAGGGTCTTGAAGGCCATCCTGAGGAACTAGGGCCTTTTTTTTCCAAGAGTAAATGAAGTTATCACTGAAGGAATAGCTTATAAAATTTATGTTTTAAAAGATCCTACATGTAGGGAGGAGAATAAATTATTTAGTAAAGCCATTTATAATAAATAATCATAGTATCTGTTAATGCAGGATTGGTTAAGTAAGTTAAGTATAGCTATTGAATGGAATACTATGATACCATTGAAATGAGGGCATGCAAGTATGTTAACGTGGAAAAATGTCTGCATTATAGTAATTGGGAGGGGAAGGATAAAGTTATAGTATAATGTATTCATACTTTAAAAATGTCTGAAAGTATATAAAGGAAAATGTCTTTATTGTTTTTCTCTGAATAACAAACTAGAGATTTTTTTTCACTTCATTTTTTGCTTACCTACATAGTCTAATTTTTCTACTGGAGTATTTAAAGTTCCCCTGACATAAGATTAGAATATGAGTTAAACACTAAAATATTTCACTACTGTTCTGTGGCATTTTTATAATAAAGAGTTGTGGATGCTTTATTCTGCCTACTTCACACAAGTCTTCACAGCACATTTCGGATATTATTCCATACAATTTATAATGGAAGAACAAAGCGGCCATCACACAGGAAGCAGTCTTTAAAATTAAAGTCCACCGTTCCCCTTGCCTGCACGCATCACTACCTTTGTTTTTAACATTTTTCTAGGGACCACCGCGCAGTTCCCTTCCAATGAGGGCTGATTTTCACAGTGCTTCTGACTGGGTGCGTGTGTATCTGTGATTTGTGTTCATGCAGCTATGTGCAAGTATACATGTGTGGGGTGTGTTGCGTGCATGTGTGTACCTGAATGTGGAATACAGGTGTTGATGTCTGCTGTCTCCCTCAACCACATTCCACATACCCCAGGAACACATGCTTAGGGAACGGTGCCATCCAAAGTGGGCTGGGCCATACTCTATCAGTTAACAACTGGTAGAGTCCCTCTCAGACACACCCACCGGCCAGTCTGACCTGGGTAATCCCTCCAGTGAGACTCCCTTCTGATGACTCTCGGCTGCATCAACTCGACAGCTGAAGCTGACTAGGACACTTTGTCACACGCCAATGCTGGGGTCACAGGCATGTGCTGCTGCATCTGCTTTTACATAGGTACCAGGATCCGAACTCAGGTCATCCTGCTCGTGCGCTCCTGGAAAGTTCAAATGACATACACCTGAGTAATTAGAAATGTATCTGAGCTCAGATACCATTGTATGAATCACCATCCACACATACTCTGGGAACACTGTATAGCTCTTGGCATTCACGTCATTCTTTTGTTCAGTTTCCAGCATGAGGAAAGCGTTCAGTCCCTCAGACATTGCTATTCTTCAACAGTAGCACCTCTGACCAAATGTCAAAGGACCAATGTGCATGATTTTCTGACTGTAGCTGTGTGGGTTTATGTTTCCAGTAACTGCATGTTTTTTTTTTTCTGAGATTCCTTTGTTAGATTCAAAGACATCCCTTGAATTTTAAATTTCATGTTATGTTTTACAACCGTGGATTTCCGTGAATGTGAGCAGTCTTTTTCACAAAAACTGAAGATTATTTCTTCTTGCTTGTTGAAAATCGTGATCTCTTTCGCACAATTTCTGTCACTGTTTTATAAAACAGCTGAGATTTCCTATGTCCTCTGGCGGTCTGTCCAGAATACTTTTAAATAAACTGTCAAGGGCTTAGAGCCGTGGCTCAGTGGTGAAGGGAACTCGCAAGTCTTGCAGAGGACCCAAGTCCTGGCACCCACGTGCCAGCTTACAACTGTCAGTAACTTCAGTTCCAGGGGACTGGCCATCCTCTTCCAGCCTCTAGCAAGCAGCCATGCACATGGTTGCATAGACGTATAGACAGGCGGAACACTCTTACATGTAAAAACTGTGAAAAAGCTACACATCCTACTAATTAGGCTAAAGGAAAATTATGAATTAAAAAGCTATTTTTAAACATTAAGCAGCTTTAATTCTTTCAGCTGCAGGAGCCACAACCCTCTGTTCAGCAGGCGGCTGGTGGAGGAGCTTTTGGTTCTTACCTTCATGCTATACTGTGTTCCAGTACAGCTATGGTCGTGTTATTACAGAAATACAGGCTGTCAGATTATTTGAAAAATCTCTTGCTTTCTTGTTCTTCCGTGTATCAGTAAAGTAAGTATATAATTCAGCTCATATGAACCTAAAGACGAATTCTGATTTTAGTGGAGGATGCACCTATCACGGCACTAAACTTTCCCTAGCCTATGTTTTATTTGAAATAGAACACGCATTAGGCCCCAGTTTCTGAAGATCCTTTCCCCAGAGCATCCTCAAAAACACAGCTACTCATATTTATAGAATGGTTTGTTTGTAGGTCAGTGTTATTGTCACCGTGACCTAAGGCCCGGCAGGAGCAACTGAAAGAGGGAAGATTTATTTTCTTCATGGCTTCAAGTTACCTCCATCATGGTGGGGAGGGTGTGGCAGAATATCTTGAATCAGGGCAGAAAGAAAAGACGAGGGCATGTCCCAGTACCTCATCTCTGTAGGCCTCACCTTCCACAGTCCTCCCATGTCCCATCTGTTCAGACGTTGACTTCATCAGTGGATTCAATCAGCCCCTAGGTCAGAGTCCCCGAGATCTAATTGTCTCCTGAATGCCTCACAGACATCCCTGGAGCCCTTTAATCATTTTCTGGTTTCTTTCTTTCTTTTTTTTTGAGACAGGGTTTCTCTGTGTAGCCTTGACCATCCTGGACTAGGTTTGTCTCAAACTCAGGGGTTCACCTCGCTCTGCCTCCTGGGTGCTGGGGTTAAAGGTTTGTGCTACCACTGCCCAGAATTTCTGGGGGATTGGTGCAATCAAGCTGACAATTAACCAGAGCATACGGACTTTCACATAGTCCGTTGGTAACAGATGTCCAAATATGGTGTTTTAGTTTGGGTTGCTATTGTGACAAAACACCATAACCCAAAAGCAAGTTGGGGAAGAAAGGGTGTATTTGGTTTCCACTTCCATATAACTGTTCATCATTGAAGGAAATCAGGACAGGAACTCAAATGGGGCAGGGACCTGGAGGCAGGAGCTGATGCAGAAGGCATGGAGGGGTGCTCTTTACTGACTTGCTCTCCAAAGTTTGCACAGCCTGCTTCTCTTATATAGGACCACCAGTTCAGGGGTGGCACCAAGCACAATGTGCTGGGTCCTTCCCCATAAGTCACTAATTAATAAAGTACCCTACAGCCTTGTCGTATGGAGGCATTTTCTCATCTGAGGCTCCCTCCTTTCAGATAACTCTAGCTGGTGTCAAGTTAACATGAAACTACCCAGCACAGACTGCCTGTAGCTGGTATAGCTAGGTTAAAGAATAAAACAAAATCCACGCCAGGCGTGGTAGAACACTCTCGTTGTTTGAGGGCTCTGAAGGTTGAAGCAAAAGGATTTAATTTAAAGCTTGCCTGCGTTGATAGAAAGACCCTGTCTATAAAAAAAAATAGCTGTGAGTTACGTTTTGAAAGCCTAACTTCCTAGCTGCCACGGACACATAGCTAGTTTTCAAGGTCACTGTGACATAGATGGTCAACTCTTGGCATCAAAATAATAATCAAGCAGGTTTTTAGTCTAACTATCTTACTCAGGTCTTCTATTGCTGTGGTAAAACACCATGACCAAAGACTAACAGGTGATGAAAAGGACCAATTTCATCTCAACACTCTCAAATCGCTCCCATCGCTGAGCTAAGTCAGGGCAAAACTCAAGGCAGATACCTGGAGGCAGAAACTGAAGCAGAGGAACACTGTTTGCTGACTTGTTTCTCCGGGCTTATTCAAACTGCCTTCTTACACACTCTAATATCATCTGCCCTGGGGTGGCACCATCCACAATGGCCTAGGCCCGCCTGCATCAATCATTAATGAAGGAAATACCTCACAGGCTTGCCTATAAGCCAATTTTATGTAGTTATGGTCCCTCTTAGATAGTTTTAGCTTATGCCAACTTTACTTTTTCCTATGTTCTTGGTGTTAGTTAAATCTAGGATCTCATACCTGTTTGGCAATCCCCATACCACTGAGTTATATCCCCAACCTTCTCTTGTATCTGTATTATTTTACAACAGGCCCCCAGACCTTAGCCCAAGTGACGCCATGTTGGAAGCACCATTCTGTCCTTAAAACCCAGCACATAGGCTCCCATACCAACCAAGACAGGAGCAAAGATATAATCCTTCAAAGACCTACGCGTAGTTCCAGGGTGCAGTAAAGTCCTTAAGTATGCCGACCTTGCTTTTTGGCTTCCGTAGTTTCACTTTTTGCTAATTGTTCCTGCTGAAGGAAGTATACCAAATAGGGTGTGGATTTTGTGCATGAAAGAGTAAGAATGGTGAGGTTCAGGCTGCAGGATTTGGGCAAGTTTCCCATACAACTGCTGACCCACACAGTTCAGACTTCTCTTTGGTTCTAAGAGTGCTCGTGTGTGTTCTCTGGTGTACTTACCTCACAGTTTTTGAGACAGGGTCTCATTATGTAGCTCTGGCTGCCCTAGAACTCACTGTGTAGACCAGGATGATCTTGAACTCATAGAGATCCTTGTTTTTTTTGTTTTGTTTGTTAGACCAGGCTGGCCTCGACCTCGCAGAGATCCGCCTGCCTCTGCCTCCCAAGTGCTGGGTTTAAAGGTGTGTGCCACCACCTCCTGACTTTTTTTTAACATTTCATTTCAGACATGAACTCAGGAAATTATCCAGTTTGGCACCGAACTGACTCCGTAACCCAGGCTGACCTTGAACCTGGATTCCCCTGCCTCAACCTGTTGTGTAGTTTAAGACTAAAGGCTTACACCATCAGGTCCAACTTGAATTTTAAATACCTAATGACAATATGAGGTGGTGTGACAATTATTCAACAGAGGCATAATTATGGAAACGGAGAGGTGAGAACAATGGGTTTTGACAAAACAGATCAAAGAGAGCCTTTTAAAGGATAACATCTGATCTAAGTCCATCAAAAGGAGTCATTAAAAAACAGGCTAACACCACTGTCCTTCAAAGAGATAGGCCTAGCAGGCTGTGCTTTCATCTCACGGATGCTGACAATAGTCAAAATATCTCAGAAATCACCTCTACATATGGTTTTGACACACAGGATGATCAACCCCATTTCTCTGTAGTCACATTAAAGAAAATCAGAATGTCAATCACTGCTATCAGTTCAAGCAGACAGCATTCCTCCCTTCAGAGGGAGCCTCCCCTCCACATCTTTGTGGTTTGGAAAGAGAGAGAAAAGTTGAGTATTTCCTGGAATTGGAAGACCTTCAAGGGAGCTTTTGTGTCTGAAACTGAGTGTGCGTATGTGTGGAAATCAGACATGTTGGCTAGTATGTGGAAGATAAGCCTGTCTTAAGAGGCAGAATTTTGCCATATATAAGAATTTTGTTTGTGTTTTGAGACAGCCTAGGCTGGGCTAGAACTCACTATGTCGTCAAAGGTGACACTTAACTTCTGATCTTTCTCCTTATCAACTGAGCCCTAGGATTACAGGCATGTGTCACCACACGAGTGATATGAAAGTTGAAATTTTGGGATCTGTGTGTACGTGTGTGTGTGTGTGTGTGTGTGTGTGTGTACAGTTAGAACATTCTAGTCTTCTTAGAAGTACTTGTTGAAACTGGGAAACTAGGGATAAGCCCCTAAGAACTTACCTTTGATGTGAGATCTTGTGATCTTACCATCTCATGAGAGATGAAAAAGCATTTGACTACTAATCTATACAGACTCAAACCATATATATATATATATATATATATATACACACACACACACACACACACACACACACACACACACACACACATATATATAATTTGGAAATAAATTTCAATTTTATGCAATGCTCAGTAAGAGGAGAATTGACAAAAATGAGAAGTGGGAAATATGGAAGAGATTACAGGTAAGCATGGGGTTGAAAAGGAGGAAGAGCAAACAGAACAGGCCATGGAGAAAGGAGAGAGAGGAGGTGTACAAAATGGAAAGAACACAGGCTCTCACTAAAGATGCTATGCTATTACAATTTTATTTTACTTTTATTGTTTGATCATTTAATACATGAATATGATGTAATTTTGATAAAATACACCCCAATCTATACTCCCCAATTCCTACCTGATAACCACCACT